TCAGTATGATACCATTTGTATAAAGTTTGAAAGCATGTGAAACAAATATTACATATAGTTATGAACACCGTAGTAATAGAGTTAAAGCATGCTTTGCAAAAACAATCATCAATTTCAGGATAGTGGTATCTCAGGCAGGGGGTGGGAAGACATGGGATCAGAGGGGTTCATAATGGGCTTCGACTAGGTCAGTAAAGTTGTATTTCCTTGAAAACATCTGCAGCAAATACTGTAAAATGTTAAGATTTTATTAAGGTGGGTGGTGGATACACGTTCATTATATTAATCTCTGTACTTTGTGGTTCTCTGATTGTGTCTAAGGAGCTTCTCTTCAAGTATTTATTTCATTTATTAGCTTGGTCCCTGCTCTCTGCCTCTGTAGATAGTTGAGACTGGGCTGAACCCGGAGGTGGGAGCAGAGCTGCTCGCTCCCCTTCTGAGTCTCCCTCCCAGGGCTGCTGCGGTGCGCAGTTCCCAGTTCCGGAGAAGCTCCTTGGAGACCCCAGGAGGGGGTTCTGGCGGACAGGGCACCTTTGACCTGCTCCTGGCTACTACAACTATGCAAATGATTTCCAGCCCTTCCTTCCCACCTAGTTCCTAAATTTAGGTCTGTGATCTGCGCCAAGCTCTCCCTCCAATTCCAGGCCCAAACCCTACTTAAAATTGAGCTACATGAGAATATTTGGGGGCCGGCCCCATGGCCGAGTGGTTAAGATCGCGCGCTCCGCTTTGGCGGCTCAGGGTTTGGATCCTGGGCGCGGACATGGCGCCGCTCCTCAGGCCATGCTGAGGTGGTGTCCCACATAGCACAACCAGAGGCACTCACAACCAGAATATACAACTATGTAGCGGGGGCTTTGACGAAGAAGAAGAAAAAAAAAGAAGATTGGCAACAGATGTTAGTGTAGGTGCCAATCTTTAAAACAGAATATTTGGGGGCTGGCCTGGTGGCGCAGCGGTTAACTGCGCACGTTCCGCGTCAGCAGCCTGGGGTTCGCTCCCGGTTGCGGGTGCGGACGCGGACGTAGCACCGCTTGGCAAGCCATGCTGTGGTAGGCATCCCACATATAAAGTAGAGGACAATGGTCACAGATGTTAGCTCAGGGCCTGTCTTCCTCAGCAAAAAGAGGAGGATTGGCAGCAGATGTTAGCTCAGGGCTAATCTTCCTCAAAAAAAAAAAAAAAAAAAGAATATTTGTTTTGTTCCATTGTTTTGTAGAGTCAGGGCCTCTGTGTATTCGCGCAGTTTCCTTTGCCTGCCTTCTCTGTCACTCCGTCTCTAGCGGTTTTCATTCATTTCTATTTTATCTTCTTCACTTTTATTTCTATCCTTTGTCTTCTGCAGTGTCCCTTAGAGTGGTGTCTCCTCTCTCTTGTAATTTGGTTTTCGTTTCTGAAATGTTTTTGTATTTTTCTTACACTTACTTTCTAAACCTGCCCTCTCCTGTTTCCTGTCCTGTCATCCCTCGCTTTCCTTCGCCTGACCATCCCTTGAGTTGTTTCTGCTTTGTCAGCTTCCTGCAGAGCTACCACTGCCCCATTACATTTTTTAAAATTCAAAATATGATTTGGGGTTAAAATTTTCTTTTGCTTTGTGGCAACGTTTCTCTGATGAGTTTCAGTAGTCTGCAGGAAAATGTTGCTACTCCTTTTCAGATTTTTTTCTGACCGTACCTTTGTATGGATGTTTTTCTTACAGTGCCTTTGATTGGATGTTGAGTTACAACTTTTCATCATTCAGTTTTGAATGATTTGGATTTTTCTAAACCAACTATTAGCAAGAGAAACCTGTATGGGGGTGGAGAAGGTTTCCTCAGTGAGCTTTCCCCATTTCTCACCTTAAGGGTTTCTTCCTCTGTCATTACAGTGATGTATACTTTCTTTTTTTTTTTGTTTTTAAAGATTTTATTTTTCCTTTTTCTCCCAAAGCCCCCCGGTACATAGTTGTGTATTTTTAGCTGTAGGTCCTTTTAGTTGTGGCATGTGGGATATCGCCTCAGTGTGGCTTGATGAGCGGTGCAATGTCTGCGCCCAGAATCCGAACCGGTGAAACCCTGGGCCACCAAAGCAGAGCGTGCGAACTTAACCACTCTGCCGGGGGCCGGCCCCTGATGTATACTTTCTTAATGTTGGCGCCTCCTGGTAGCCAGGCCTCCTCTGAGTTGAGGATCCTAACCTCAGCTCCTACATCTAGTCTGGAGCTTCCCTCGTTCCTTCTCCAGCCACTAATTCTGAGGCATCCTGTCGCTTCCTGCCAGCATGCTCCTCTCGCTTTCCTAAGCTGCATCTGAGGGACTTATTTCTTCCTCTCCCGGTGTCCCTGCCGTCTGCCTTAGTCCTGCTCGCAGCCGTACCCACCCAGGCTGAATCCTTTCCTCCTTGGGTGGAATTTTCACTGGGGATTGCTGGGGCATGTACCACCTGGACTCTTGTGCAATTTCTAGTCTTCCCTGTGGCACCTGGTAAACCACACATTGTGCTTTACTGTGCCAGTTGGGGGTAACACTACGCACGTGAAATTTGGGAACTTTCTTGCTTCCTCATTTTATTGAAGATGTAAGTGTGTAGGTGTTTCACACCTTCATTCTTGTTGCTCTGAGTGGTTTGAAGGAAAATTGGAAAGATTCTGAACAAAGCTGTCACCACATTCCCGTCAGGCTGGTCTAGAGTCCTCAGCCAGGCATTCAAAGCCCTCCACAGTCTGGCCTCCGTTTTCTCCCTCCTCTTGGGTGCGATCCCTGCTCCAGCCAAACTGATCTGCCAATGTCCCAGGAGCCCATCCTGCACATTCCTTCCTCTGTGCTCCCTTCAGGGGCCTCTTTATGGTAGCTGTTGATTTTGGTGACCCAGCATGTATTTCTCCCTCTCCCTTTCCAGTATCAGAACCTACCCACCACCCAGGTGCATAAACCCTGCTTGTTAGTCATGGTGCGCCTTCCCTGGGCAACAGTTTCAGGGGAAACTAAGTAGTCCAAGCAGAGGCAGAGTCCCTCCCTGAATCTTCCTTCCACTAGACCAAGCTGAGAAGCCTTCCCCTTGCCTCTGGATGTTCATCTGGAGGAATACCCCGTCTGCAAAGGAATACAGTGACTCACATAGAGAGCAGAGAGAGAGAGAGTTTCCTTGTTTAAGTGCTGGATCCACCCTGAGGTGCCTAGTAACATAAGCCAGTCCATCACTTTAGCTTAAGAAACTGAGTCAGGGCCAGCTCGGTGGCGCAGTGGTTAAGTGCACACGTTCTGCTTTGGTGGCCCGGGGTTCGCCAGTTGGGATCCCGGGTGCAGACATGGCACCGCTTGGCAAAAGCCATGCTGTGGTAGGTGTCCCATGTATAAAGTAGAGGAAGGTAGGCACAGATGTTAGCTCAGGGCCAGTCTTCCTCAGCGAAAAGAGGAGGATGGGCAGTAGTTAGCTCAGGGTTAATCTTCCTCAAAAAAAAAAAATTTAAAAGAAAAAACTGTCAGTTTTGTCATGTACACCTAAAAGAATTGTAACACACATCACACTCTGTAATTGTAATTGCCTGGCTATTTGTTTGTTTTCCCTACTGAAAACCCTTTACTGCGAGACCCGCACTTGTTCACCATTGGGTGCCTGTACCTAGCATTGTGCCTGGCCAGCACTGGGCAATCAATAAAAATTCAATTGAAATTACATTTCTGCCTTTCCTAATTCTTCCCATCACTCAAGGCCTTAGACTCCAAGTCCTTCATGAAGCCTTCCACATCAAGTGACAGAGTCTGTAAAATATCGAGGACTGTCCCAGCACAAAGCAGGCTCTCATCAGAGCTGCATCCTTCTCGCACCTAGTCGCTGGAGTCAGAAATGATGTCTCCTTCCCTGGAGCTCCTATATCTCACTTAGTCAATGGCATCTGCTCCTACTCTTATATTGGAGTTAGTGGCATTTCTAAGTTTTCAAATGTGATTGTAAATGCCAGGAAGCAAGGACCTAGCACCGTGTCTCAAAGAAGAGAATCTGCGGTTGTTGACTATACAGCTGAATGCATAATGATCAATACTTTAGGGGTTAGGTGGAGGCTGGTAGTCTGTTACTGGCTGTGGGGGTCCTTGTGTTAAGTGGGTCATGAGGTAGACTCAAAGGAACCTGAAAAAAAGGTAAAGCTGAATCATACTTTGCAGACTATGTGAATCCTGTTTTACAATCTAATTAAGCCATAACAACTGACCACAGCTGAAAAATAGCTGTGATTATCCCCTATGCCTACGTGTCTTACTATGTGGTGTAAAGGCTGTTAACTTGTCCAAGCTGAATAATTAGAATGAGAAGTGAGACATGAGGCAAGCAAGTCAGAGTTTATGATGCCTTCAGTTCTGATGAAGGGAAACCGAGTGTGGCCAAGAGAAGAGACCAGAAGCTGTGGGTCCAGAACTATGTTTCATACCTCTTACATCAGCCTCATACATTTCTTTGGCTGTGTCTTCCATTTATAATTAGTAATAGTCTGACTGATTCAACCTTTCTGATAGAATGTAAGCTCCAGAAGGCCAGGGGCTTGGTCTTGTTCAATGTTCGATGTTCAGTCTCCCAGTACCTGAAACAGTGCCTCTCCTTATGCGTGGGGCCATAGCACGACCTGTGTTCATAGTTACTCAATTCATCTCTCTACAGTACTGGGTACAGTGATTTACCTTTTATGTATCTTGCTAAAATATGTGTATGCCTAGATTTCCTTATCTGATGCAGATGTTAAAAGAACATTTTCAAGTCCAAGTCCCATGATGTCAGTGACCTCAGTGTCTTATTCACTAAAGTATCTCTAGTGCCTAAAACAGGAGACACTGTCAATGTCTGTGGGATAAATCATTTACGTATTTAATTAGTGAGGTTTAAATTGAGCAAAGAAATGGAAATGAGTGGCTCAGATTTAATAAGAATGCTGTACTACACTTGTTTTAACACCTTAGAGTTTATAAGTGCTCTCACAGATACCCCCTCACTTGACTCTTGCAACCACACTGTGAGGCTTATTTTCTCAGTTTTGCAGATAAGGATAAGGCTCAGAGAAACCAAGGAGCTTGTCCGAGATTACGTAGCTTGTGGTTGGGACTTGAACCCAAGACTTGACTACAGATTTTATGATCTTTCTACATTTTCATGGATATCAATTGAAGGTGAGACAAAATTAATAGAAAATTAGCAACATTTTATAATTGGAATGATAGAATCTTAGAGTTGGAAGTGGCCTTACACATCCAAATTCCAAACCCCTCCCTCGTTTTTCAAAATAGGAAAATAAGATTTGGAGAGTTTCTCTGAAGCATCCAAAAACACACCTCCAGCTTGAGAAGTAATCACTCTGAAGCTAGCTCCTCCACTTATTGCCTCTGGTTTGTCCTCAGATGTCATCTCAGCTTGAGAGAGTGGACTGCATTTGCAGGAGACCGAGCTACCCTCTACCTTCCTGTATCAGAGGCCCTTGAAAGCCTGGCCCCTTTCTGACAGGAGCGTGGTCCTCGCTGAAGGAAAGTCGGTTTTTCTCTCTCCCTCTTTGCTATTTCTTTTTCCTTCTTCCTTGTTTACCTTGCAGGTGAGGGATGAGGGTTGTGGAAGAGGCATCCGGCCAAGTGTCCCTACTCCCTCTTCTGTAAGATCTGATTTTGATAAAGGTCTTTGAGTTTGAAAGTTAATAAAAATAATCCCACTTCACTCTCCATTTATTTACTGTTTTTGAACTGTTCACACCTCAGAGACCAGTTTTTTCTTTCTTTCTCTGATGCCCTCTGGTATAGACCCTGCCAGCTGACGGTCACTTTGCATGGAATCTTAACAATCTTGCCTCTGTCCAGTGGGAATGGCTTTACAGGCCTTAGAGAAGGTACATTCTGTCGTTGGCCTTGCATGTCACTCTTTCTTTATGAGTCAAAACCTGAGAACAGAAGAGCACAAATTTTACCAGTAATCAAAGAAATGCAATGAAATACCTTTTTTCAACCATCAAATAGGCAAAAAATTATAGAGATTGGTAATATTTTGTGCTGGCGAGAGGGTGAGAAAATGAACACTCATACCTTGCTGCTGTAAATATGAAGTGCTGTACCTTTTGGGAATGCAGCCTACTATCTATTAAAATAAAAAATATGGTGATTACATTCAGTCATGTCATTTTGTTCATTTATCCTGTAGAAATCAAGGTTCCCGTTTATAAGGTTATATGTTCAAGATGGTTTACTACAGCTTTATTTGTAATTGAAAAAACAAAAAAAAATTTGAATTTCTTTCTGGAAGTGTTGAGTAAATTATGGTTTATCTGTAATACAGAATATATCATGCAATTTTTTTTAAATGAGTTAAGATTCCATGTGTGGACTTGCACTTGGACAGCTGTTTATGAATCTATCATGGGAATATAATGCTAAAAGTTGTGGAGTAATATTAATGGAATGATCTTACTTCTGGGAAAAAGAAGAAAATCTTTACATGTGTGTACACATGATGTAAGTTTGGAGAAAGAAGTAGCAGGGTACCAGCTCAGCTAATAAAATTTGTTACTGTGAGGGTAGAGTTGGGATGAGGAAGGAGACATTAACACATCTGGATTATTTGACATTTTACAACCAGCATGCATTGATATTATGATTTTTTTTGATAAAGTGAAAACATTTTGAAAGAATGGGTTTGAGAGATGGAAACTAGATTATAACCCATCTGTCTATCACTTAATAGTTGTGAGAGGTTTGGTAAGTTCCTTAACCTCAGTCCCCATCTGTAAAGGTGAATAATATCTACCTCACAATGTCTGATGAAAAGAAGTGTACAAAGCATGTAGCACATTGTAATCCTTCTATAAATGTTAGTTTCTTTTTCCTTCTACACAAGCAATTGGAAGTAGAATATTAAAACACAAGTAAAATGTGTTGGCTGTGCCACCAGCCGGTGTTATCCTGATGTTCTCATCTTGCCATTGGCCTACCGAAGAGGTGGATTAGTGTCTCTCTGGAAAAAAGTATCCAGGAGATAATCCCTATTTCCCCAGTTAATCCTTATAGAGAAAAAGTAATAATAATACACGATGGTGGCTTGGCCCTCCAGGGGTTGTTTACCTGGTACCTCAGTTATTAGTAACCCAACTGAGAAATAGGAAGGAAGGAAAAGGGCCTCTGAGCAGCCAAAACAGATATCTAAAGTCCATGCTCTTGCAGGATCAATTCTTCTTCTTTTTTTTTTTAAGGATTTTATTTTTCCTTTTTCTCCCAAAGCCCCCTAGTACATAGTTGAACATTTTTAGTTGTGGGTCCTTCTGTTGTGGCATGTGGGATGCCGCCTCAGCATGGCCTGATGAGTGGTGCCATGTCCGCGCCCAGGATCTGAACAGGCGAAACCCTGGGCCACCGAAGCAGAGCGCGTGAACTTAACCACTCAGCCACAGGGCAGCCCCAGTTATCCTTATTTTAAACAACCCAAACAAGCTTTTCCAGCTCTGGTGTATTAGCGAGGATGCTATGGCAGGCACTCTGAGTGCAGCCAGGAGGGACAGCCCCGTCTGAGCCCAAGGGTGCGTGGAACACTAAAATGCAAACACAAGAATTCAGGAAGCTAGATGGTCTGGGGCCAGGCCCTGTTTTCACAATGAATGACTGAGCTTCATAATGAGGATGCTGAATTATTAGGGAGAAACAAATTCATGCTTCATATAATCTTGTAAAGACACCTAATTAGAGTGTGATACAATCTAGAAGTATTTCCACCAGAGATGATTGAACTTTTTTTAATTTTGCTGCTTAAAAAAGTGAGTTTTGGGGGCCAGACCTGTGGCCAAGTGGTTAAGTTCCCACACTCCACTTCCGCGGCCCAGGGTTTCCCCGGTTCGAATCTTGGGTGCGGACATGGCACCGCTCATCAGGCCATGCTGAGGCGGCATCCCACATGCCACAGCTATAAGGATCCACAACTAACAATACACAACTATGTACCGGGGGGCTTTGGGGAGAAAAAGGAAAAATTTTAAAAATCTTTAAAAAAAAAAAAGTGAGTTTTGTTTTTGTGTTAGTGCCAGAATATAACAGAGATCTTTATGCTACGAGGGAAAGATAGAGTAGCTGCCAGTAGTTAGAAATCTGCATAGCCAAGTGTGACAGGCATTAGAAATTGTTCAAAAAGGATGTGTGGTTACACATCATGTGAATGCCAAGCTCTTCAAATACTAATTTATCAACATCATTCTAAGCCCTAGCAACTGTATTAATGGCATCCCAAAGACTGAACTTTTCCCAGCAAACCTTTGATTGTGAGGCCCTTGTTAACTGCAGCAAGCAAGCACCAAGGACAATTTTTGTTTTACTTTTTAGGTGCTTTTACTTGTTCTTCCTGGAGGGTAAAATTCCACATTGGCATCACAGGAAGTTCAGGATGGGTGTGTGGAGCACTTCTCTAGGAACAATCAAACTTCACTGTCCTTCCTGACAGCTTGCCTGCAGTGAACTCCCTCTGCTGCGACAGAATCGCTGCTGACCACTCCGAGTATTTCTCTGGTTACCCAGGTTTTGTTTGCGGAGTAGAGCCCAGGTAAATTATGTATACCCTTTGAACATCCTGAATGTTGCCTTCCACTCACTGCCAATTTTATCTAAAGCGGCCAGCAACAGTGGCACACCCCAAACACCGAAACCTGTGGATGCTCGCTCATCATCACTGTTGGTGTTTCTCCAGGAATGTAGCTCCAGGAAAGAGCTGTTCCATCAGCATTGTCAATTTGCTCAAGAATAAGTTTTTTATCAGATATGATTTTATCAAATTCATCAGTATAATGTTCCAATGCTTCCTGATCATTAGAAACTTTTTCCACTTGATTTTCAGATTATTTTCCACAATGATGCTTCTTCGATTTCTGTAGCAAACCTAATGAATGCTCACACACACCTTCAATGTTCAGTTCTTCATGGTATTTTCTAGCTATATTCTGTTACACATTCACTTCTTGTTGAATCCACTCAATCAAAACATGGTCAAGATCTTAAATTTTTGTCCTTATGCAATGTTTTCTTGTTTTCATTAAGTTTTGTTCATCATCACTAAAAAACTTAAATAACTTCTGTTTCTTTAAGTCACATATAGCAATGATTCCTCTCCATAATCTTCAGTAAAATGCCTCACAGATACACCAGGATCAAGCTTCTGTAATAACCTCATCTCTGTGCTATTAATGAGAGATGCTTCTTTTCTTCTTTTTATCTTCTCACTATTACCAGAGGTTGTCTTTGACTCTATTTGATGTTTTCATGGTTACAAAAGAACAACAACAAAAAGCAACAAAACACCAGCACTCAGCAGATATTTTGGGAGGAATGTTGTGACACAATTAAGTCTTTGCTCAGTTTAAGCCGCAAAATAAGTTCATGCTGCAAAATAAGTTTTGTGCCAAACTTATAGAATAACTTTTGGTTTTAAGAGCTTGTCAGACTTAGAATTGCAAATAAACAATGTGAACCTAATTTTTTGGAAGAAATTTTTAACATAATGAAAAAAATGTTGGTTTCCTGATACATTCATTAAGAAATGTTTCCTGAGCAGCTAGGACAATGACTCCCTTCTTTTTTTTTTTTTAACCAGAGACCCCCCCCCCCCCCGCCCCTTTAGCCTTGGAGTTATGTATATACAACTGCCAAACAAAGGTTCTGATTGGCATGGATAACCAGCTTAACCACACTGAAATGATGTCATTTATAGAAACAACAAATATTTTGACTTGTATACCCATTCAGGATATACATAAAGTTTATTAGCTTAATATATATTGTAGTTCAAATATGTATATTGAAAACAGCACAGACTATTTTTACTAATTTTACCAGAAGTCCAAGGATCTTAGGCTGCAAACTGCCGTATATGTCCCTGGCTCTGCACACAAAAAATAAGTATACAGACCTTGAAAGTACAAAAGTGAGCAACATGTGGATCTACATAAACAAAGGTGAGCCATAGGTGTCCATGGTTCAGGACTTACAATTTAGAATGAGAGCTGAGTATGTACACAGATCATGCACTCCTAAGGCAAAAAGCAAGTAGAAGTAAAAGTGGGACTTCAGAGGAATGAGTGGTTAAGAGTCTGCCTATAAAGAATAGGGAAGAAATAGGAAGACCTAGCAGATTAAGTGATACCTGTACTAGACTTTACAGTGAGTGGGATTTTATTGGTTGGTTGGGAGAGATTGCTGAGGATCCCGCTCCCCTGATATCTGTGCTTTCCCTCTTCAGCAGTAATAGATCTCCTAAGTTAGCTGAAATAAAGACTAAATTTCCCATTCTCCCTTGACAGTATAATATACACAGCTTTGGGTCTGAAATGTATTATTTTTGTGTAATGACCAGGTGTTTGAATTACCAGTAAGTATATTGGAAATGGCATTCCCCCAAACTGGTTTTAAAATAGAAAATGAATCCACAGAGAATCTCTAAGAAGAAATTTAGTGTGTCCACACTGTAGAGATTTTAGAAAACATCAAAGAAATGTATAAATTCTATTAAAAAAAAGGGCAAAAATTTTAGTTCGAACATAAAACTGATGTCATCTCACTTTGTCAAGTCCCCCCCTTAATGTTATGACCTTGTGCATTAATGTTTTACCAATCCAATTTTATGAGAAGGTATATAAGAAATAATTCTTAAGTTTATTCCCTTTGCTTTAAAAATATAAAATACGTCGATCTTTTTGTCATGTTTGCTGCTTAAGTCAAAGAATATTAATGGAAGCCTCTTTATGCTAATAGTCCTTCAGATATTTCTGAAGCCCTCTGGGGCTGCAAATTGACATTCTTCAGCATATGTTGCCAAATACCCGTTTTGTCAAATGTTTTTGGATCAGCAAAACTTTCTTTTGTAAGTTGTTCCTTAATTTCAAGACTTTCTAACTTGCTGGATAGATTTCTGGATAGATATTTGTAATTTTTTTTCTAGAAAAAAATGCTACCTGACTTGTAAAACTCAAGAACTTCTAAATGCATCAACCTGGCCAGTTTAACTCCCTTCCCAGTCAGTGCCGTTGACACAGTCCAGGCTCGTCAAGAACAACAAGACTGGCACTCCTCGTGTCCCCTGGGGCCCAGGCTTGGTTTGAAGCTGGGAACCCTGGCCTGGGCCTCCCAGGGTTTCAGAGGTAATGGTGACAAGGTAGGTTCTGGGAGGCTGGCTGAGAAATAAGCTGTCTGGGGAGGCTACCATATCAGATCTTATTGTTATTTTAGAGACTTTGTTCACCAGACATGACGCCTCGTCAGCTCTTTAATTACTAATCCATTTCTCACCTTTACGAATTTCTCATAGGCTATTTTTTAGCCTATGAGATAGCTGTATAAAATATCACTTCATTGATTTCTATATTGTTATGCGATAACTTGAATATAGTTCTCAAACGTTTCTTTGACAATAGTAATTTTATTCCTGTAATTTAGCATTTAGAACACCCCTCATGGAATTACATAGACCAGAGTATATTCTTTTTGTATTCCCAAGTTTGCCCAAACTAAAAATCTACCATCCTTTGCTTCCCTCCTCCTCCCACCCTCTTCACCCCTACCCCATCACACACATCAACTCTGTCTTCATAGGATCTCCAGCATCCTTCTCTCCAACCCATTCCTTGCATTTACCCTGGGGAGGTGCTCAGTCAATGCTGACCAACTGATAAAATTCACTTCCCTTTTTATTCCTTACATTTGGATATGAAATTAATTTAGTTAAATGTTAAATTATTTAAAACCTTTGGGCCAGGGTATATTGAGGCAACTTTGAGACAGATTTTCTTTGGCCAAATCATTCAACAGCCAAAAAACTTTAAGTTTTGTTCATCTTAGAGAGGAAGTAAATCCCTCACTTCTTTTAGGACTATCCCTTTGAATACATGTTGTTTCCAGCTTACAAAACTTGAAAATCTCACCCCACTAGATGCACCAGTGTAATTATTTGAATAGAATCAGTTTTAAATGGCTATTATTTCACTCCTTAATTGAATGTACCTTATAATTACTGATTGTTACTTATTCTCAAGAAGTCAAACACTTTGGAATGTCATTCGTTTTGTGCAGTCCCCATGATTTGCTCCCTCATTTTCAGAGAGACCGGGAATTCATAGCCTTGAGTCTACCCACCTACTTTGGCTACACTTAGTCCATCCCAGAGACAGAGAGGATCCTGTAAGCCCTCCAGAGAGTGATGTTCCCCTTTTCCCAGGCCACACTGGAACCCTCTGGTGGCACTGAACA